TTTGGTCCCCCCCCCCCCCTTCCCTTCCAAAAGGGTAAGGAAAGGTTTGGAAATTTTCATTGTGCAAAGGAGGGTATTTTGGAGGAAGGGAGATTGTTTATTTTTTTTTATTCTGGAGTACTGGAAATGAAAAATCAACGTTCTGGGAGGAAGCTGAGGAAAGGAAAAATCTTGGGGAAGGAGAAATGGGAAAGGTGAAGAGATGGGTGGGAAAAGGATGCCATGAAGCACTGCACCCCTGGACTTACTGGCTGAGAAACAGAGAGAAAGCTGGGACTGCATGGACTCAGTCTGTGTTTTGCTCTCACTGTGCCTCCGTCCTTCAAGCACTGAGCTGCCGTCCCCGGTGGAGAGAGGGGGAGCTAGCATGGCAGGGAATTAAAACACAAACACAAACAAAACACTCAAGTTCAGTAAATAAAAAAAGAGAAAGGAAACAGAAAAACATTAAAGAAACCACAATGCTAGGCACAAAACATGCTGGAGTATCCTTCAGGGCAATGCCAAGTAGACAGCTCTACAACATGGACCTGCTGTGCAATTTACAGTAACATGGGGGTGGGGGGCTACTGCCTTTATCCCCTCCACGGTGGAAACAACATATCCCTCAAGCAGCTGTCAGTGGTGGATCAAGATGATGTCTCCTACACCACAGCAGAACAGATCCATGTAACCTTTTGTCTATGGAAAATAGGAAGTTGGCAAAGGAATTGCAGAAGCACTTCCCTTTTCCCAGAGTCAGGGCTATGCAGAATGCCAATAACTCCAACAGCTCCAAATCTTTTGGTCTACTTAGTTTTGCTTGAGTGCTTGCTTAGCATAAAACATAAAGGGGCAGGAAATAAAAAGGATCACTGGTGAACGCTGCTACACTTAAAACAGAAGCACTAAAATTACCAGAGCTGGCCACAGGACAAACCATTACTGTGCAAGCTCCTTCCCTCCCAACCACCCTTGAAATGCTACATTCTATTACATTTTCTAACCTCTGCAAAAAAACCAAACAACACCACAGCCACTCAGTTTTGATTTGCAGCTATGTCGCCCTATACAAGTCTTCGTAGATTCAGCCCTGGCCAGCTGCCCTCTCCTTCCCCCATCCTAGCCTTCCTCTCCTCACAGAATTTGTACTCCTGACTTACAGGACAGATTGGCTTAACTGGCTGAAGTGTGGGACCTCTCCTGAACACAAGCTGCCAAGGAGACAGATATATTTGGACAAATATATCTTCTGGATGGATATGCAACAGAGATCAGATAAATCAATCTAATTACCACACTACCAAAGTAATCCAGTTCCCCTTCCTCAAAGCTAGGCTTTTAAACCACAGTCTACTCTTTGGCAAAAAGGTGGGAGCTAGAACATTGTCCTATAATGAGGTTAGGTGTTACCTGAAACAACCTGTATTGCAGAGCTCATTCACTCACTGGCATGTGTTTCTGCTCCCTGTGACTCCTCAGAAGAGGAGCCAGCAGCTTGTGATAAGCCATGAAAAAAGCATCAGGAACTAGTCCAGCTGAAAAGAGTTGACGTTGCTGCTACATCACAGGGCCAGCATTGATTTTTCTGTGGGTATGTAACTCAGCTTGACTACAGGGAGAATGAGAGTACCTCTGCCCCAAAATTTAAACTATTTGCCTCAGAATGCAAACTACATTCACCCATCCCAAACCTCCTCATTGAGGAAAATGTCAACTCATCCTCCTTTAGGGAGGTCAGGAAAAGGACAGCTACTCAAACAACATGAGCAGATATGAGACATGGGGCTCTTTCATCTAAAGAGTTTTACAAGACAGGAATATTTATGATATGGCCACTGAAAGGCGAGAAATCTCTTCCTAACCTCTCCCTCTACAGATATCTCAGTCAAGGACTTGAAAAAATAATTTCCATTCAGTGATGACAGGCTGAGAATTATATTCATCTTAGAAACAAAAACAGACCCAAAGAGAAAAATAAATCAAGAAGGAAGTGTGTGCATGTCTCTAAAGAGATTCCCAGAAAGGAATGAGAAGGGAGACTGAGAGTTAAAGAGAGGTTTCAATTCCTTGTAACCTACAGGGAAACAAAAAACCAGAATCGGACTCCAAAACTCAAGGGACTGGTAGGGTTTTTCCAAGCCTAGAAATGGACTGGAGATGAACAGATTATCATATTTGTCAGAAATTAATTCTAACTCTGAGACAAAAACAAATTAACTCAGGGCAAAAAGTGTTTATTTACCACAGTAGTGAAGTCAGCTGGTTCTCTAACTCATGGGTCCCACTGTGACAGGAATGACAGCATCATGGCAAATTTCTGAACTGAGTCAGACACAGAAATCTGGGAAGCTAGTTCAAGGCAATGATCGCATCTCCAGGATTCCCTACCTGCACTTAACTGTATTAGAGAATACAGGCAAAACACCTACCTTTCAGATCCTCATCTTCAGTCGTGGTGTTACAGCTCTCTGTGGAACCCTGCACAGCAGAACAGAGCATTACCAGGCATCAGCAGTTGGGAGCATGAGTAAATACTTCCATTTGTTTGTGAAGGAAGATGGGGAATAGCGCAAAAACATTGGCAAGGATGGAAGGAGAGTATGATAGAAGAGATGGATAGAAGCAGGCCAAATATTAAGCAAAACTTAAGAGCACCTCTGCTCAGCTTTTGCATGTTTAAGCCATTCAAATGGTCTACCCAGAACTTTTACAAAGACAGAAGCTACCAAACTGTCAAATGAGATCAAATGGGAGTTCCTTCTGTTTGGAAGAAGAATAGCCACAAGAAGCTAAAGAAAGGCTTCTAGGCTTTCGCAGAGGAACAGACTTCTATTTCCAGAAGAAAAATGCCTAAGTGCCTGAATCTTCTCTTCTACCCCACATATGAAAGAGAATGGTGATCACACACCACAGTAGGAAGGAGATTATAATATTTGAACAGCTGTCCCTGCTCAGCCTATTCCAGAGATCCACAGCTGTACATACAACCCTCCCGGTCTACTGCCAGCAGTATTCAGGAACATGCCACAAACCAGATGCTGGAAAGGTAGAAACCGAACTAGGACACACAAGGATAAGAACAACAATAGAGAAGCGGAGACTTCTCTGACAACACTCCTGTCCCTTACCTTTATGCCATCTGTAGCATTATGGACAACAGTTGTTTGAGGCTCCTAGGAAAGGATGGAAGAATCATTAAACTGCAGTTCCAAAGCATTCTCTCATTTCTTTTCACTCCCCAGCAAGTGGAGAAAAGGTGACTGACATTAAAAAAATAAATCAAACCACAAACTCCAAATAGCACACGTGTGCTTGCGTGCGTGCACACACACATCCTGCACAGAAGGTTTCCTAAAGTAAGAGGCTGCACTACAAGCTACAGTTGCAAGGAGACAAAGCCCCCAGCTTCCCTGCAATTGCCCCTAATTCCCAATTTGCCTGCAGTGAACAAGGCTGGCACAAATGCCTGATGGCAACTGAGTAGTCAGTCTGCATCATCTGCAGCTGTTCATGAAGTAATGATCTCTCAGCAGCATCCTCACTGGAAAAGGCCTCAAAAGGAGGAGAGGAAAGGATAATACTGGGCTGGGGCCTTTGTCTCCCAGTTTTTTGGAAAGTTTGCTGGGTATTTTAGCCTAAAAAAGGGACATTCATAATTTCCATAACAGTAAGGGGATAAGCCAGACCACCTCAGTGCCTCCCAGAGAGGAGTCGCTAAGGGAACTGCACTGTGAAAAAAAGCACATTTTTCTAAAAAGCTCTAAAATAAGATCCAATTTAAATAATAACAACAATAATTAATAATTTAGAAAGGCTCTCTCAGTATCAAAACCATTATGAACAAAGGCAGTGAAAGGAAAGCAGAAAATTATGAAGTGTCCCAAAACCCCTCCATCCTACAGCAAACAATAAAGCCATTAAATCCCACCCTCCCACCCCCCAAAAAATTGTCAAATCCAACTCTCCAGAGACACACAACAAAATCCAGCTACCAGGCCTATGGGTGCGAACTGGCTCCTGCACTCAACCCTTCATTATCAGGAGAAAACTTGAGGATCCTGCACTACCTCCTCACACTACTGTCACTCTTGCAAGGGTGGCTCTCCAAGGGCACCAGGGACTGTGATGGTGCAGTGATGTATACTCACCCATCTGCCTGTCACCCATTGCACTGCTGCCTCATCTTCCAAGCATATTGAGGCAGACCACATCAAGTTGTGCTGTTAAAGGTGTTAGGCACATGGTATCCTGTGAAGCCCACTGCACACAGGTCAAACAGAGAATGCCAGCCCAGCAAGTCAGTGAGCTGCAGAGGACCAACGACACAACTGAGCAGGCCAAATGGGCCATAAAAGAATTCCTCTAAAACCCCTTTGCCTGTTCTTTCTTCTGTGGTGTCCTAAAGTCCATCCTCCGTTTCCCCAGTGTTGGAAAGTGGATGGAGCTTGCCACTCTCTTCTTCCAAACCAGACTCCCCAAAGCCAGCAGGAACAGTTGAACGGGACACACAGAACTATATAGGAATGGCACAAGGGGATGTCCAGGCAAGCTATGATCCCCACATCCAACCACAGCTCTGCTCAGCACCCCCACCCCAAAGCCTGTGAAGCTGTGATCAGGGCCCACAGCAGCACAGGGACACAAACAGAACAAAGCCAAAACACAAGCTGAAACAGAGCAGCACAAGCAGCACTCGGGATGAGGGGGAAGGAGGGAAGGAGAGAGGACAGAATCAAAACTAAACCAAACAGGAAAAAAAAATAGTGGTTGGGGAAGATACCATGGACGTCTGCACTGGGGGTGTTTCTTTTGCAGTGCTTACTATACTGGTTTTGTTGTTGCTCTGTGGCTGAGACAGAAAAACATGGTTTTAGTTTCCCTGCTGGGCAGCAGAGGCAGCAAGAAAATTACAGTATTGCTTCAATCCCAACCATCTCCTCAGACCCTCCCCTCCCCACAGTCTCAGTCACCAAGAAGAGAGAGGAAGAAGGAGCACTGCCCAGGTCTCTGGACATCATCTTACTCTCACAGATAAAAGATGTAAAGGATGTACCAAAACCCAAATGTGAATGGACTGCTAGAGCAGGAGGAAAACAGAAGGGGAAAAGGCAGCAGCCCAAAGGGTTGGGGAGAATCCTGCAACAAGCACCTACAAAATATTTGGTGAAGAAGACTGAGAGGTGACAGCAGTCCTGAGAGAAGGAGACTACAGAAGCGAGAGACCCACAATAGTCATGGTGCAGTCTCAAACAGGGGACATGAACAGTCCTAGATATGTGATGATGCTGAGGGTTCCAGAGAATCTACTGATGCAGTGTGGTCAGAAAAGGTAGAAAAGGGTGAGGGATGATGTGTTGTATCCCTGGTGTAACCGGATCAAACTATGGAAAGGAAAGGGGTGGGATGAAAGAAAAAGGAAAAAGGTCATGTAGTTCCCCAAGTAGCAAGTACTCTGGATGCTGACCAGTACTGTTTCATCTTTTCTCTCTTCAGTCTGTCTTGGAGATGTGGCAGAAAAAGAAAATCACAATTTCCTTCACTCATACAGCACAACAGCAAGGCAGACAGTCACCAGCTTGCTGCAAAGAAACATCCCATTGCATCATGTACATCAGTTAAGTCAGGAATGAGCAGAGTCTAAATCTGTGGGAAGACAAATCTGTGTCGACTAGTATAGAGCTTCCAACTCACAAACCCAGTCAGTCGTTGGAGAATTAGGCCCACAGTTACATTGCTGTGCAGCACTCACACCAGGTATCTTGCTGCCAGACACCAGCAACAATGTTAAAATCAGCACTGCAGAAGCCTCCTCAAACTCCTTGGCTTACACATCAGGGGTACTGGATGGGAGCTCGCAGCAGTGTGACCTCATTGCACCTGCTCTCCATCCTACCGTTCCTGGGGAGTGCAAACTCAAACTTCAAAGCATCAGGCCCTCATCACCCAATACCCACCACAAAGAATGCAGAAGTCAAATGCTGAGCTGGAAAACATCTGCCAAAGATGTCAACCAGAGACAGATCCTTTGAGTCTGAGACTTCACACACCTACAAGTGCATAGTTTTTTCTCCATAAGCTGCATGCCTTGTCTTAGCTATCCCTTTCGGAGAGGGACAAAGGAGAAACAGAAGAAGATGGGGCAGGTGGAGAGAGAAGGTAATACAAGAGAGAGGCAGCAATTAATACTTTACAACTCCATGGGGAAAAAAAAAAAAGAGCATATGACACACTCATCCCCAAAGCTAAGAAAGGAGAAACACTTCACAAAATACTGTTTACTGTGTCTTCCTATACATCCCTGCATTGTCCTAAGACTTGGGCCTACTTTACAACTCCATGGGAAAAAAAAAAAAGAGCATATGACACACTCATCCCCAAAGCTAAGAAAGGAGAAACACTTCACAAAATACTGTTTACTGTGTCTTCCTATACATCCCTGCATTGTCCTAAGACTTGGGCCTTCTAAGAGCTTTGCTTCCTACATGTACTTCCAGCCTGATGGCAGAAGAGGTGACAAGCTGAAAAAATGAATCCTAAGCTGTTTTGTGGCATAAACACAAACTTCTGCCAATGCCTGGGCCCACCCCTCCACACAGCACTGACATTCCTGCACTTCTTCAGAAACAGTGATCCTAATGCAGAGATGTATCTTCTGAATCTCTTCCAGTGAGAAGAGTATAGCCTACTCTTCTTGGTCCACTGGGATAAGCAGATAAAAAGTTAGCATGAAAGAAGCTATACAAAAATACTTCTGTTTTGTTTTTTTAAGACTTTATAACTGATGCCAAATGTGAGAAAAAAACCAAAACAAATCAAAACATCCAAGAAGACACTGTCTGTTAGGTGTGGGACATCACCTTACAAGGTGCAAACCCATGCACACACGAAACACACAGTCTAACCTCTAGGCTGCTCTGAACACCCAGTTCACTCATTGTACCCTAACCCATCCAGTGGGCTTAAGAAGATGGGGTATCATGTTTGCTAGTCCAGAATCACAGCAGGACAGAGTCCCAAGGACATGAGAGGCAGAAGACTTCGCCCAGTTTTCACAGCTCTTTCTCAGATAGAAGCATCTGACATGCTGAGCTTCCTGCATACACTCGTTTTGTGGCCTCTTAATCAACTGCCCTTCCCTGGAAGACTGGCCTGCCGTTCACATGGTTCCAGGTACCACAGCCAACTCTTTACTCCTCCATTCCCTCCTACTGCCATCCCACATCACAGTCACTGGGCTCGCTACAATCCTTGGTAATGCACAGTGGTACAGCTTAAGTTAAAAGAGGCCAAATAACCTAAAAAGGTGTCAGGCCCTTTTTAAGAACTATGTAACACAATTAGTTTTGGCACAGCAGTTGGCAGTGCTTCCTAAGCTAGACAAGAGACAGACAGACAGGTACAAACAACACAGAAGGTGCAGGAGAAAGAAAACAGACCAGTGGTCATATCACTGAGGGGACACACTTCTGGTCAACTAAAAGAAAATAAGTACCAACACATGGGCCATCTCTAGTTATTTAGCCACCTTCACTGCTTCCACATTTTCTGAGGCTGGCATTTACATGATTTACATATCCCAGATGCTTGAAAACAACATGCAGAGGGAATTCAAGACTTGCTGGCAGTAGGCAGAATAGAAGGGCAAGAATGGCACAACAAACTCCTGCCCTGGAGTTTCATAAAGGCAGGGCTGGTGAAAGGTCAGTCCCTCACATCAGATTTTCCAAGCATTACTCTGGGATTACTTTTTTTGTGTTTACGTAGTTTTAAGCTGTCATTGAAGGAGGAAGAGGAGAAATATCTTCCAGTTAGCAAAGTAAAAAGATATTCTGCTTCCTCAGTACTATAACATTTCTGCTCCTACCTGCAATAAAGGAGAGATGTTTCCTGTTTGTTTGTTTTTTGGTTTGCTGTTTTTTGTTGTTGTTTGGTTTTGTGTGTGTTGGGGGTTTTTTGTGGGTTTTTTGTTGTTGTTTTTGGTTTTTGTTTTGTTTGCTTGTTTTGTTTGGGGTTTTTTGTGGTTTTTTCCAGTGTAAAGAAGATTATGCAATAACTACCTGCTGTACTTCAGTTACTGTTCTTATCTCAGTGTCAGAGATAAAGGCATCATCTAATGGGCCGTGTATGACTCCTTACAGTATGGCACTGGCCAATTTTCTCCTTGCTGCCTTGAGAGTGGATTTGACTTTTCTGACAAATTCTATGGATGTCAAAAATCTGGATGGATAAAAAAGGAAATGAATAGGAGAAGGGAGGCAGTTACTAGGTATTTGGTCATGCTGGGATACACAAACAAGATCAGAACAAAAGGAAGTTTGGGATTATAAAGGCTCTGACAAACCTTTTCAGTAAGTATGCTAAAAAAAAAAAAGACCAGCAGGACTGAGCTGCCCAGCAGTGTTGTGCCCATACATTTGATCTGAACAGTGGAGCCCCATCAGTCTCTGTCACATTTGGAGGGACTCCCAGTTTGTTCTACATTGCAGGGCTCCCACCAAGGATGACGGAACCAACACCAGGCAAAGCACTTGCTCCTCTTTTTGGCACCTCTGCAACAGAATGACAACGCCCTATGTCCAGGCAAGGGACACACTAGGAGAAACACTGCCTTTTTTCATTTGGCACTCAGAGCAGGCAAGGTCAAACTGCATTGCAAGCAGTCAATTTTCTGCACAAAACTTGAACCGTATGACTGACCAAGGGCAAGATGACTACAGGGTTCTTTCAGTGAGGACATGGACCTTTCAGTGCATAATGATTCCCCCCACAGCCTCCCCCCTGCACAGACATGCTATGTAGGGTGATGAGCACAAGCCGAGCGTGCATGGCATGAGAATGGCGGACGCACGAATTGCAGGCAGCTTACGGGAGGTGCTCACCATCAAATGCACACTGGAGCTCGACTTCCTTTTCTGGACACACCATTGAGAGAGGGAAA